GCGATGGCCTCGCTCGGGGACCTGGTGCGCGACTGGCATCGCGGCGCGCAGGCCGTGGAGCGCGGGGACTGGGGCGACGCCCTGCGCCTCTTCTCGAGCGTCCCGGCGCCGCCCGCCAGGATGTGCTTCAACGTGGGCTGCGTGCACCTGCTGGCCGGGGACGCGGACGCCGCGCTGCGGGTGAGCGCCCAGCCGGGGGAGGCCGCTCTCTGGCCACGGGGAGGTCGCTGGGGTGCGAATGAAGACCCAACTGCAGGGGAAGGGACCCCGGCTCTTGCTCCCGACGCCCACCTGGAGGTCGTCCCTCCCAGCTCTAGCCTCAGCCAAGCCTAGGGCAGGTGGGAGCTGTGTGGTGGGGGACCCCCCCCCAGCTGAGTGAGGCCAGGTTGGGGGGCGCAGCACCCACCGTGCTGGAGCTTCACCGCCTGGAAAGGCCAGGTGACCACAGGCTGCGACAGGCTGGGAGAGGAGCCTGCCCCCCAGGTGGAAGTGCTGGGGCTGAGTTTTGCAGATGCGCCTGTTCATGGGCGGGAGACAGGGTCTGAGCACTTACCTGTCCTCCCAACCTGCTTCCCAGAACAGAGCCAAGAGCTCAGGGCTGCCCACGCGCACACCCCACCAGCCACTGCTGGGGAGGCAGCCCAGAGCCACTTTGCCCCGTCCGCTTCATGTCCACCCAGAGCCGCACGTGTTTCAGTGGCCCATAAGGAAAAGCCGGCAGCACCCTGCCCCTGCTCAGGTCCCCAGCACTCACAGAAGCAGCCAGGTTCCTGCAGTTGCTTGAACGGTCAGTGGCAGCTGCCTGGAGCACCAAGCAGATGAAAAGAAAAAGAATTCAGCATTGTGGGAGAGTATCAGCGTCTCTGTCCCGCAAGACGTGGCCGCTGGCCGCCCGGGCAGAGTGCGCAAGGGCTTCCCTTCTGCTGCTCTGACGTCTGCACGGGCCTCTGCCATCATCTCAATGACAATTTCTGTTTTAAAATGTTACCCAAGACAGGGAATGTGGTCACTGGACGCCAGGCGGTTCAGCAGTGAATCAGACGTGTGAGGCTAACGCCGTCCTCACTTATTCCAAACTGCGATTTAGCTGGAGAGAGGAGACAAGGGTCGTGTTAAATCTTCCTCTTCCATAATAGGGAGAGAGGGGTGCTGTCTAAAGTCCATACAGTTAATTAATAATAACATAGGGATATTAATCGGAAAATTTAAAAAGCAATGGAACTGCTTCAATTAATAAAACCGATCGTCTGGGAGCAGGACAGGGGAGGATGGGCGTGGCCAGAACTGTTGTTGGCATGAACCTTACCTAATGTTCGCTTGGCTGCTTGGTGCGCAGCACAGCAGAGAGGGGGATTTCACGGGGGCAACCCCATACCGACCCCTCAGCCACCGCACCTTCAAACCTGAGTCAAACTCAGCTCAACAACAAGCCCCTGCTCAGCCAGATTTGTAAGAGTGAGCCCATGACACCTCCTCACCGCCCATATTAACTGATGGCCGCTGTCCCCGTTGGGAACATTCAGTGTCGTCTCTGAGTCTGTTAAAGGAAGAGCTGAGCTTTGCACAGCGATAAGCCTACCATACTAGGACTTTTGTGTTGTTGCTCTTTCTGATTCTAATAGATACCTCTCGTGACATTTTGTATGAACTACCAAAAAAGGTTTTTAAAATGACAAAAGTCTGGCATAACTGTGCATAAGTCTTGCATAATAGTGCCCCAGAGGGAATATTATTAACACACTGGAGAGTTTCCTTCCAGCATCTGTCCTTGTCCTTATGGCAAACAAACTGGCCTATCGTGAGGCACCTTGGACAGCTCAGGTTGGTTTCAGTTGTGGCAGCAGAGGACCTGAATGGTGACACCCCTGCCCAAGCAGGAGCTCTGAAGGCTACTTGGCAGTTGCAGAAGGGGCCTGAAGAGGGCTCCCAGGGGGCTCACAGAATCTGTGGCCCTGTCACCAGACTGTATCTGTGACACTGGGTGACCAGGTTCCTGACCTGGGCATTGCATGAGCATTTCTGTCCCCAGGCGTTTGACCAAGCCGTGACCCAGGACGCCTGCATGGCTGTTGGCTTCTTCCAGCGAGGTGTGGCCAACTTCCAGCTGGAGAGGTGAGCACAGGGCCGCCTTGTTCCTCATCTGAGGCCCTTTGTCTCTGCAGAGCCCCTTCCTCCACCCCCACCTCCTCCCTCCCCACCGCATCCCTCCTCCTGCGCACCCCTCCTTGAGGACACCTGGGCAAGGATGCTGGTCACGCCAGAGCCACCCTCCCGTGAAACACAGAGTAGAGCCCACTGTGGCCTGTCTCTGCCCAGATTCCCAGGGCACTTTCTTGGGCATCCCTGGCTCAGTCCTCACCTTGTCTCTGTGGTTGTAGTGATGGGGGGATCATGCTATTCGGCAGACGTGGAATCCAAGGGCAGGGCTGGAGCGTAGCCAGTCCTGGGTCCTCACTGCTCACCTGGGCTGTCGGCACCGTGTCCCTCCCTAGAAGAGGAATCAGGGAAAGGCAATGGCCAGGGCTGTAGGCCAGGCTCTGCGGGGCCCCCGGCGGCTCTGGAGGGACCAGTCGCAATCATGACTGTTTCACTGAAAAGATCAAAATCCTGCCGGGTGCGGTGGCTCAGGCCTGTAATCCTAGCACCCTGGGAGGCCGAGGCGGGAGGATCACTCAAGGTCAGGAGTTCGAGACCAGCCTGAGCAAGAATGAGACCCTGCCTCTACCAAAAATAGAAAGAAATTAGCTGGACAACTAAAAATATATAGAAAAAATTAGCCAGGCATGGTGGCATGTGCCTGTAGTGGTCCCAGCTACTCAGGGAGGCCGAGGCAGGAGAATCGCTTGAGCCCAGGAGTTTGAGGTTGCTGTGAGCTATGATGACGCCACGGCACTCTAGCCCAGGCAACAGAGCGATACTCTGTCTCAAAAAGAAAAGAAAAGAAAAAAAAAAAAATAAATGAAAAGATCAAAATCCCATAAATACAATTCTGGAAGAAAAAATAATTCAAAATTCTTTACAAAATATTTATTTACATTTTTAAAAGGAGATTGGAGAAACCTAAAAACAATACTTCATAGGCCAGCTCACAATAAAATAGGCAATAACAACATGCATATTTTTGCAAGCGTAAACACTCAGGCATACGAACGGCAGTTACATGGGCATAACACAAAAATTGTACTCTTAAAGAAATAAATCAAGGCCGGCGTGGTGGCTCATGCCTGTGATCCCAGCACTCTGGGAGGCCGAGGCGGGAGGATCACTTGAGGTCAGGAGTTCAACACCAGCCTGAGCAAGAGTGAGACCTCGTCTCTGCAAAAAAATAGAAAAATCTCCAGTTGTGGTGAGTGCCTGTAGGCCCAGCTCCTCCGGAGGGTCGCTGGAGCCCAGGAGCTGAAGGTTGCAGTGAGCTGTGAGCTACGATGACGCCACTGCACTCCAGCCTGGGCGGCAGGGCCAGGCCCCATCTCGGAAAAAAACAAAACATGGTGCATCACCACTACATATGCAGTCACCCAAAGGGCTGAGACCTTGAGAAGTGTTACCTTTTGTAAATGCAGATATAGAAAAGGACATTTCACCACTTATTGAAATGGCAGCAGAGGACCTGAATGGTGACACCCCTGCTAAGACAGGAGCTCCAAAGGGTTAGGCACAGGCATATTAGTTGGAAATTAAGCAGGATTATGGCATCTGGGTTGGTGTCTTTCCTGATGATGGTCCCAAACCTGTCGGGGGCAGCCTCATCTCTCACCAGCCCAGGACGGCTGCCTGGGGAGATGGGTTTCTGGCAGGGGCTGGGAAGCTTCCAGCAAGACTTGGAAGGAGGCTCAGAGTTTGGAGGGGCCTGAGGAGTGGGAGGGAGCCCACGGCACCCTGCACAGTCAGACAGGGCCCCAGGCGGGGGGAGGGTGCTCAGGAGGCCGAGTCAGGGCAGCGTCAGAAACTCAGACCCCAACGTGCCCTCCCGTACCTACCTGTGCATTTGGGCACTGGGCCCTCAGCCCACTGTCAGGCCTTGAGTGCCGAGAGCTGGGCAACCGCACTTCCCTCCCACAGCGCTCCCTGGAGCTGGGGTGGAGGGAGAAGGCCCAGGCCGGCCCCCCACTCTGCTCCTTTCCATGCTGCCCACAGGTTCCAGGAGGCTCTGTCCGACTTCCGGCAGGCGCTGGCACAGCTGAGGGGCAACGCCGCCATCGACTACACACAGCTGGGCCTGCGGTTCAAGCTGCAGGCCTGGGAGGTGAGTGTGTGCAGGTTCCTGTGGGCTGCGGGGGACTGGGAGGCCAGCCTGAGCCCTGGGGAGTCATCTGTGGGCAGCGTTACTGTCACAGGTGGGGCCCTGTGGACTGAGGTACCCTCTCTGCTGGGATCTCGGTGCCACGAAACCCCCACAGTCACTGCTTTGCGCCAGGAGGCCTTGAGCGCAGTGGAGGTGGGGGGAATGGTCTCTGCCCAGCAGGGCGGCGAGGTGCAGGCGGTGTGGGTAGGGGCCCAGGCAGCCTTCCCCGCTCGCCCTGTGCTCGGCCCGTTCCTGGCTGCCTGGACTAGTGCTGGCACGAGGGAGGGACACAGGGGGACCCTTCCACTCCTGGAAACTCACTGCCCTGAGGCCTTCTGGGAACCTGTGTCCCAATAGACAAATCATAGGAAAGCCACCAGGTGCCTGGGTCAAAGTCCCGCCTGTGCCGCTGGCCCACAGGCACTGGACAGGGGAGCAAGGGTGGGGCTGGCTTGGCTGGGCAGTGGGGTCTCCAGAGGACAGCACTGAGGGGTGGAGGGGTTGGGTGGGAGGGTTGGCTCCCAGGAGCGCCGTGTGACTTTGCCTGTCACTAATGCCATGGGGCAACCTTAACTCACCCTGCCTGGCCACAAGAATGTCCTTTCCTATTGGGGTGGGGTCTGAGTGTTCCCTAGACCCCTAGCAGGGACCCTCCTCAGATGTACCCCAGACTGTCGGGGGAGCATGGCATAGTGGGGCACAGGAGGGAGTGCAGCCCAACGCAGAGTGGGGAGACCCCGGCCAGCGGGGGTCTCAAGAGACCAGCATCTGGTGTTCCAAGTGGAAAAGAGCCCAATGCAATGAATGGCTCCAGCCAGGTCTGGAGAGAAGGCCCTGCCGGGACTGAGCTGGGCACGGAGACTCCACAATGCCTGGCTGCCCAGAAGTGAGCCAGACAGGCTACAGGTGGCCTGGGCCCTGCACACAGCCTCATGTCAGATGGACACAGACCAGCCCTCAGTTGCTGTGGCTGGGGAGCCCAGGCTGGGACCAAGGCAGACCAGGTGGGGGACCAGGTGGGCACCAGGTGGGGGACCAGATGAGGGACCAGGTGGGGACCAGGTGGCGACCAGGTGAGGGACCAGGTATGGAACCAGGTGAGGGACCAGGTGGGGACCAGGTGGGGGACCAGGTGAAGGACCAGGTGGGGACTGGGTGGGGACCAGGTGGGGGACCGGATATGGAACCAGGTGAGGGACCAGGTGGAGACCAGGTGAGGGACCAGGTGGAGACCAGGTGTGGGACCAGGTGAGGGACCAGGTATGGAATCAGGTGAGGGACCAGGTGAGGGACCAGGTGGGGACCAGGTGAGGGACCAGGTGTGGGACCAGGTGGGGACCAGGTAAGGGACCAGGTTGGGACCAGGTAGAGACCAGGTGAGGGACCAGGTGGGGACCAGGTGAGGGACCAGGTGGAGATCAGGTGTGGGACCAGGTGAGGGACCAGGTAGAGACCAGGTGAGGGACCAGGTGGGGAGCCAGGCTCCTGTCCCCGTGGGCCTCACTCCCAGGTGCTGTACAACGTGGCGGTGGCACAGTGCCGGCTGGGGCTCTGGACCGAGGCGTCCCACAGCCTAGCGGAGGCCACATCCAAGCGGCCAGAGGGCGCCCAGGACGGCCTCGACACTGCCCTGGCCCAAGTGCAGGTGAGGAGTGCTGGCCTGGGGCACAGTTTGGGGCTCATGTCCACCTTGGCCCCTCAAGATCAACTTCACAAGAGGGAGAAGCACCAGAGGGAGGTGGCCCTGGTGTCCCATGGTGGGGCCAGCTGGGGGCTTCCCGTGGCCTGTGGGAGGTGGGGCACCCAGGCGCCCCTTCTGCTTGAGGCTCAGGGGCTACTACAGCTGTGGGCCTGGTGGGCCGCTCAGATCTGCATCAGCTGGACACCCCCACCAGATACAGGTCCCGCTGCAGCCTCGGCAGGTCCCCAGGGGCGAGATCTTCCGGCCCCACAGGCGGCACCTGGAGCACCTGGAGCCGGTGGATTTCCTGGGCAAGGCCAAGGCAAGTGCCCAGCAGGCTGGAGAGGGCAGCTCGGCCCTGCTGCTCCTGGGACACGTGGGGTCTGGCCAGTCCAGGCCATTGTAAAGTCTCGGAGGGTAGAAAGTGGGCATAACCATCCTCAAACCGACTCCCAGGTTTAGGGGGAGGTGCCCCAAATGGGGCGGTGAACCTAGAGGCAGAATCCACCAGAACCAAGTGCAGAGCCCATGCGGCTGCCCTGCCCAGCCCGGCCACAACCACGCCCTCTGTCTCGCGAGGTCCCAGACAGGGCCGTGGAAACTCACTGCTCTGGGGTCAGGGCCAGGCAGCACCCCCAAAACGACAGGATATCGGGGAGCAGCTCACCGCCAAAGGCAGAGGTGGAATGTGGGGAAGCGGGTGGCTCCCCCATGTACTGCCTTGATTTTACGCTGTGGCCCTGGGGCCGGCCACAGGCCGAGGTCACCTGCAACAGCACTTGGGCCTGCGGGGCACTGGCTGGTGACCAGCTGCAAAGGCAGGTCTGGGGGGCTCAGGTGGGTGGGGAGGGGCTCTGAGCTATACTGATGCATCAGCTTAGAGTCTGCATGTCACAGCAGAAGACTGTTTATAAGAAACAAATATAGTTTAAAAGTTGTACTAAAAATAAGTTAAAATTACCAGATGTTTTCCTCCGCCGCGGTGGTCCGCATTCTCAGGACGAGCGTGCACGGGGAGGCAGCGTGGGCCTCAGGGCCCCCTGACCTGGTGGCCCCATCCCCTGCAGGTGGTGGCCTCTGCCCTCCCTGAAGACCAGTGCCCGGGCGTCCAGCCTCAGCAACCGCAGGTGCGTGGGTGGCCCCAGGCCTGTCCTTGCCCGGCTTTGCAGGACCCGGCTGCTCAGGGAAGAGAGGGCTGCGGAAGCTCTGAGCCCTCATTGGGTCCCTGCGTCCCCTCCTGGGGCCCAGAGCTTCTCTGATGGGAATTGGGGGGGTGGCCATCCCATCCCTGTGCGAGGACCTGTCAGAACCATCCGGTCTTGCCTGGTCCACCTTCAAGGACTCGTGGGGAGAGGGGACAGCCGTTTGCACACTACACTCTCGACTAGAGCGAGGTTGTCACTTTGTGCCCACAGGGACAGGGTGTGAACCCTGAAGCCAGGCCCGGGGCTGCACCACGGTAGGAGGGGCCTGTCCTCTGTGCGCATCCCTCTCCTGCTGGGCAGAGGCCCCCCTGGGAGGCCACCCCTGGCCAGGGGACAAAACCCCACACAAGCAGTTTCCAGATTCTGAAACTGGTGCCCCCAGTGCCAGGGAAGGGGGTCTGGCCTGGCTGGTCCCCCGCCCCTGCCTTCCCCTGGCTCCACCTCCCATAACGGCCTGCGGGAGGCGAGGTGGGGGCCAGGAAAGGAGTTGAGACCACAAGGTCACCAGGACTCCAGGCAGCACTGAAAGAGGGGATAAGGGTCTGGGCAGAGCTGCCCAGGGGGGCACCGAGCTCCTTGGGGGTCTCACATCTCACAGTCACTGCTAGACGCAGGGGAAGCGATTTCACCCCTTTGACAAATGGCTGTGAAGCAGGGCGGGGGTGCTCACAGTGGCTGGGGGTGTGGGGAACAGACAGGCCCTGGGCCCCTAGGCAGGGGCTTCCATGCACACCTTTCTCGGGACCCTCAGGCCAAGGTAGGAGGGCTGGGCAGGGCAGTGAACCCCCAGCTGGGCCATCCCTGAGAACAGGGGATCTCCCTTCTCCCCCAGGGCCAGAGCTGTAGGCTGCAGAAGAGCCAGTGCCCACCACAGCTCTGTGGATGCAGAGACAGAGGCAGGGCAGGCTGACCCCTGCCCGTCGGTCTCCTGCCAGGGGCAGGTGCGTGAGCCTGGGCCTTGCCCCGGGGGACGGAGCTCGGCTTCTTCTGCAGGGCCAGGCTGATGGTAGGAGCAGCCCCATGGACCACACGGGGGGAAGGGCAGGGCCGTCAGGTAGGCGAGTCTCCCACCGGGCTGGGCTGTAGAGGTCCTCGCCTGCCCAGAGCTGAGATGGGGGTGCCTGGCTGGGCGCGAGGCTGGACGCTGGCCGTCAGGGCGGGAGGGAGGGGTGTCCAGCAAGGTCTCCCAGATGCTTCTCCCCCTACTCTGGGCACAGTGACCAGGAAGGACAGGGTAGGGGCTGAGGGCTCCTGGTCCTGCACCTCCAGAAAGGGCTGTCACCCGGCTTTGCTGGCCCCCTTTCCCCAGGCTGGAGTTGGGGGGCGGGGTAAGAGCAGGTCTCACAGTTAAAATTCAGGTTTCAAAGGACACAATCTAAAAACAACCACCTTCACTTTCCCGTCTGACCGCTCAGCGTCCTTTGAAGCAATTGTGCCCTTTACGGCTGAACTAAATTTTCCCCGAGCTGCACGTGAGTTGCTAAGGTCGGTGTTGGGTTTTTGGGTTTTGAGCACTTGGTGTTCCTGACCCAACAGCACCACCTTCCTAGTGACTCTGGCTGAGTCCGGTACGTCCGATAAACTAAAACCTAGTCATGGCTCTGGCAGACCTAGACCTGCACACTCAGCCACAGTGGGCGGTGGGCTGCACCCGCGGCCCCGCCGTGGGTCTGCTAACCCACTCGCTCAGGGCCAATTTAGGGTTAAAGGTTAAAGTCAAGTCGATGCGGTGGCCAGTCCCCGGACTTGGTTCTGAGCCTCCTGGGGTTTCCGGGGAGCCTCCAGAATGGAGCTGCTGCCCTGAGGTGGGCCTGGGGAGACAGGGCTGCGCCCCTTGGCAAGAGGCCACCGACTGCGGTCTCCAGGCCTGCAGGACCCAGCCCCGCCCCAGCCTGTGGCTTCCTTTGCAGAGGCCCCATGTGGAGCAAGTTGGGGGACAGGCTCCTGTGTCTCCAGGTACGGGGTGTTTGTTGTGGGTGGGGGTAGCCTCCCAAGGCGAGCTTGGGGTAGGGAGGGAACTTCCGGTGGCCACAGGGTGTCCCGAGTTGGTGGCTGCCTGAGTCCCTGCTCTGTCCTGCAGGGTTGCCGGCATCGGGGGGGCCTGGCCTCAGCCCCACTGAGGACCCCGCAGGTGCTGGGGTAAGAGGCACCCCTACTCCCCCCTCAGAATCGAGCCTCGCCAGCCCTCGGCCCCAGCACCCCCTGCACAATCTCTGCCCTTGCCCCTGGGCCCAAAGTCCATCCACAGCCCTGGGCTCAGAGGCCATCCCACCCCCTCTGCCTGGCCCCAGGGAGCAGCCACCAGCAGCCCCAAACCCTCAGCCACCGCCACCGTCACCGTGCAGTGTGCCTTCACCGTGGCCGTGGAGGCCCAAAGGGGAGCCGACCTGTCCAGCCTGCGGGCTCTGCTGGGGCAGGCCCTCCCTCGCCAGGCCCAGCTGGGGCAGCTCAGGTGGGCCGGAAAGCCCCAGCCTGCTGTGGCCAAGCTGGGCGGGCCGGTGGACACCACGCAGGCAGAGACAGCGGTGGGAGGGCGGCTGGCACAGGGGTCGGAGGTCACACCCTCCCCACAGTCCCCCACGTAGCGGCCCCCTCGAGGCCACGCTGAGGAATCCTTTTGCAGTTACCGAGCCCCCGGAGAACGTGGGCACTGGGTCCCCATCCCTGGGGAGGAGGCGCTGCAGAGGGCGTGGCTGGACACGGCTGCTGATCCCGGGGGACTGCAGCTCCAGTGCCAGGTGAGCCGAGGGGTGCGGGCAGGGGCAGCCCGGAGGGTGGGGGCCTCTCCTCCTGGCATCCGGCCTGCCCTGCAGCCCCCCATCCCGCCGCAGGGGGCAGGGGGCCGGCCCATCCTCTACCAGGTCGTGGCCCAGCACAGCTATGCAGCCCAGGGGCCTGAGGACCTGGACTTCGAGCAGGGGGACACGGTGGACGTCCTGTGTGAAGGTGGGATGGGCACTGGCCTCCCCGAGCACTGGGGGAGGGGGCAGGAGCCACCCGGGCATGGGGGATGGGAGCTTGGCCTGTGCACACGCAACACCCCGAGGCCAAGCTCGGGTGACAGGCCCGACGTGCCCCCTTGCAGTGGACCAGGCCTGGCTGGAGGGCCACCGAGACGGCCGCATCGGCATCTTCCCCAAGTGCTTCGTGGCCCCTGCCAGCCGACGCCTGTGAGGAGCCCACCTGGACCTGGGCCCCGGCAGGGAGGGTCAGCCTGGGAAATCCTGTGTTCAGGAGGTTTTAATAAAAACGCCCCCCACAGTGTGGTCCACGTTCCAGGCTTGGTGACTTGGGGGGGTGGCCCAGGAGATACCCACGTTGCTGGACTCTGTCCATCTGGTCAGACAGCAAGGGCAACTGGTCCACCGGCCCTGCTTCCCTCTCGGCCTCCGGCTGGCTGTGGCTCCCGGGTCCCTGTGCTGGCCCCTCGAAGCCAGGCCCCGCCCTGCTCCAGCGGGGGGCCCCGAGCCAGGCTCCACGCAGGCCCCTGCACAAAGCCCTGGGGTGCTGCAGGGAAGAGGTGCCGGGGGAGAGGGGCCCAGGGACGCTGGGATGGGGGGCCGTGGCGGGGGCCATGCAGCCTTCACGGCCAGCACCACCTGGTGGCGGAGTGGGGCCAGATGTCCAGGACTGCGGGCCTAGCCCACACAACAAGGCACTGCAGGGGAGAGGGGATCCGGAAGGCACTGGGGTCGCGGTGGGCTGGGCCTCCGCCTTCCTGCTAGTCCTGGGGCCAGAGGAGCTGGACTGTAGCAGCCCCAAGAACAGCCACCAGGGTCAGCACCACAAACACCACTCCCGCGGCCCAGACGCCGTAGCTCTCTGCCCGCCACTGGACCGGCGCCTCGGCCGGGATCATGCCAGTCAGGTTCAGCATATAGCCCAGAGTCCAGCCAATGTCCATGCCGCCAACCTGCGGGAGGCACCGGCCGCTCAGGGCTGCAGGGTGGCTGCCCAGAGCCCACTCCCTGCCCTCGAGCTGGGGAGGGGGTCACCTGCTGGCGGAACTCGATGCTGGGCCAGGTCTCCTCACTGAACCCGTAGCCCTCTGTCAGGAGTGTGAGGATGTACAGGCCGCAGGCACAGTAGTCCCGTAGCCAGCGGTCCTGCCCAGGGTAGCTGGCCTCCACCTGGGGCGCAGGAGGCCAAGGGGCCAAGTGAGGGCCCAGGACCAACAGGCCACGGTGGGACCCCTCACCCCTGCCCTGGACAACCTGAGCCTCTGGGTGACAGGAGGGGGTCGGGGCAGTTGGCAGAGAGCTCCTCCTGCTGTTCCTGGGAACCCCTGACCAGCCAAGAGGAGGCTGGTGTGGCCCCACCTCATGGCCAACAGAGGCGATGTTCCCGCCAGTCATCCTCTGGGCTCCCAGCTGGGGCAGGACAGCCAAGGCACTGTCCTCCACGCCACAGCCACAGCCCCTCCCGGCCACACTGCCCTGCCCTGCCCACACTCCCTCCACCCTGGGAGGCCCTTGGAGACCCACAGCTGGAACCCAGGGAGCCCAGGTGCTCCCACCTGCTTCCAGGGCTCCTGGCAGAACTCCCAGACTGTGGCATTGGCAGTGGCCAGTGACTGCCTGGACGTGAGGTTCAGGAAGTGGAAGGTGTAGTAGAAGTTGGAGAAGGCCTGGGGTGGAAGGACATGGGTGTCCCTGGGGCCACGCCCAGGTACAGCTGGGGTTGGAGGAAGCCCCACCCACAGGGTGTCCCAGAGTCCCCAAGAGCCAGCCAGGGCTTGACCCATCCCTCCTGTCCCTCTTCTCCCTGGTGGGCAGTGGGGGTCTCACGTAGAACTGGCCCCACAGTGGGGGCTGGTGGACCCTGTCGAAGGCACAGTCCCCAAGGCCCTGGAGGCTGGAGCAGTTGAAGAGTTGCTGGATGGCCACGACGCAGGCCCCAGGGTCACCTGTCCCTTCCACCGTGAGGTTCTGGGTGAGGTTCTGGGGGGCCGCAGGGTGGACACAGGGTGACTCGTACAGGGGGGCCAGGGGCAGTGTGCTGCGGTAGCCGCTGTGGTAGCAGGGGTGTCGGACCAGGCTGGCCGAGTGGCTCTGGCTCTGCAGGGGCAGGGAAGGCCTGAGCACTGGCCCCGAGCTGGCAGCCACCACCCCCAGCCCCAGCCGTCCTGACCTGCACCAGCCCGGCCAGGAGCCGGCTCAGTATCTGGTCCCGCCCAAAGCAGAGGTAGCTGCGAGTGTAGACGCTGTAGCTGGAGCCGTAGAGGTGGAAGGTGACCTGCGTGCTCGTGTCCAAGACGGGGCCCCGGGGCACAAAGGCGATCTGGGTGGAGGCCCCGCCCAGGTCCAGGGCGCCCACCAGTGTCCCTTCCGGAGGCCGGGTCCATTCTCCAGAGAAGGAGTACTGCCCACATGCGGGCTGTCAGCCCTGGAGCCGCACGCTGACCCCAGCCCACGCCAGCCCCGCCCACCTCGGGCTGCCCCTGGCACCTTGATGAGCAGCCCCAGGACATAGTTGATGGTGATCCAGCCAAAGGCACCTTCGTCCTGCCCGTCCAGGAGCTTGGCGCCCTGAAAATCCACAGGAGACCCGCCCAGGACCCGGGTGACCGCTGCAAAGATGTCCCCCGCCTGGGAGCTGTTCTTCTGGCTGGGCAGAGGGGACCAGGGCCAAGCTGGCTGGAAGCCCAGCCCAGCACCTGCCCCGCACCCCTGGCTGTGGAGACCCCGGCTCCTGCGGCCTCTCCCCACAGACGCCAGCCAGTGACCACCTCACCTGAGCAGCCTCATGCCGGCCGTGGCCCCCAAGAACATGGGTGTTCCTGGATGCTGGGCCTCTGGGATCAGTGCCAGCGCCTCCCCCAGGCAGCCCCGAAGGCTCTCACCAGCCTGTGCAGGGTCGGCGGTGTAGGAGGAGATTCCAGGCCCTGAAATACAGCACCCGGCACCAGGCTGCAGGCCCCGAACAGTGGCCCCCAAAGACGCAACCAGTTCCTGACCCCTGGGGCCTGCGAATGTGACTTGATCTGGGAAAAGGGCCTCCCAGTATAACGAGTTAAGGATCTCGAGATGAGATAGTCCTGGACTGCCCGGGTGGCCCTGAATCCAGTGGGCAGCGTCTTGTGAGATGAAGGAGACAGATTTGAAGGCGGAGGCAGAGGGTGGGGAGATGTGGCCACAAACCGAGGACGCCTGGCCCCCCAGAGCTGACAGAGGTGGGAAGGAGCCTCCCCTGGAGCTTTGGAGGGGCGCAGCCCTGCTGACACCTTGGTCTTGGACTTCCAACGGCTAAAACGGTAAGAAATATGTCGCTGTTGTTTAAGCCCCCGTTTACCAGAGCCCCCCGGAAACAAATTCAGGGCCTCCGGTTCCCCCCACTGGGGTCCTGGCGGGCAGCCCTGCAGCTGGTGGCATCAGCCGCCAGCACCAAGGTGGTGTCGGGGTGGGGAGCAGCAGTGGCCAGAGAGGTTGGCGCTGGAAGGACAGACGCTGGGCAGACGCGGGCCAGGCAGAGGGAAGTCGGCCGCAGACCCCGGCACATGGCACAGCCCAGGGGCTGTGCTCGTTCTCCCCAAGCACAGGCAGGGACAACAGCAGAGCCCCAGGGCTCAGCTCTGTGACCTTGGGCAAGTCACTGAACTTCTCTGAGCCCTTTTCCTTTAGGTTGACTTGCTGATTGGCCAAGGGGGGCAAATGTAGCAGCTCCTGCCTGGCACGAAGTGCACCAGCTGCGCTGCCTCCCACACCGCCACCCAGCTGGGATCCCAGCCAGGCAGTGCCGATGGAGCTGCCGCCGACCTTCCACCTGGCAGGCCAGGGCCTGGCTGACCACGCCCGTGCCATTCTGCTTGTCCACCGGCCACCGATACACGAAGAGGGACGTGTGGGAGGAGCCAGCGTCAAGCACGATCCCGAACTGCGGGCGGCACCAGGGTTAGGAGGGCGCGGGGGCCACGCCCGCCAGCCCAGCCTCCCTGCCCTGCCCAGGCGCACCTTGGTGTCTGCGGGCAGGAGGATGTTGACAGCCTCCACCAGGACAAGAACCAGTGCGGTGAGTCCCAGGGCCACCGCGGCCCCCAGCAGGGCCAGGAAGACCTTCTCCTTGCAGGACAGCCCCATGGCGGGCGCAGGCCTGCTCCTGCGGGGGCGGGGGAGCTGTGGGCACCAGATTCCACCTGCTGCCCCTGCCCAGCCCCCCAGAGGGCCACCCCATCTCCCTCAAGGCGCAGCTGTCCGTCCTGGAGAGCCACTCGCCCTGGGGCTCAGACAGCCACTCTTGGCCGGGCTGATGGCTGGGGGAGCCCCAGTGGGCGGCAGGGGCCTTGTCTGGGGACACAGCCCCGACAGGCTCCAGAAAGCCCGCGTGGCGCTGTCAGGGGCAAAGGTAGCCCCTGTGGACGCCCATGTAACCTGGGGCAGCCCTGGGCCACACCCTCAGCCCCTGCTCCTCCGGGCCACCCCCACGGGAGCAGGAGCCCAGCTCTGGGCCAGGGCTCGGCCTCCTCTTCGCAGCCCCCACCCAGGCCTGTCGCGGGGCAGGGCCGAGCGCCTGGGCCAAGGACCACATGTGAACCAACCTGAGGCCTCTTCTCCATTAAAGGACCTTAACGCGGGGGCTTCTTAACAAAGACATCTGGTTTCTGTTTTAAAACCCAGCCTTGGATTTCTCTAATCTGATTTTGAAACGCTCCAGTTGGCCCCAGATGGCCCTGGGCAGAAGACTGACCCAGGAATGCCATTTGCGTGGGGCCGGGGGCGGGTCCAGCTCAGCAGCCAAGGTGTCCACGTCGTCTGTCCAGGAGGACTGGCAAGGGGCCTGGAACCACCCCAAAAAGTCACCTCGGCCAGGCCAGCTCCTGGTGCCCGCCCCATCCTGGGCATTCCCACCAGGGCCAGCCTGCACGCCAAGGTCAGTAGCACTGAGGCGCACGTGGTTCTGCGTCACACTGTGTGACCCCCGAGAACACAAACTCTCCTAATGTGCTCCGTCCACACGGAGCCGCCTGCGGGGACCAGGCCGGTCCCTTCCTGGGCTCCTGGACACATGGTGAGTGGACACCCCATGAGAGTCCTCATGAAATTCTCTGTCGTGGGGGGATATGAAGCCATTTTAGGAGCAAAGATTGACCCTCAGAGAGGACAGGTGCCTGCCCAGACCCAGACAGGACCCAGCCTCTGTCCCTAAGCAGCACCCTGGCCACCGGCCACCTCACAGGGACAAGCAGATGACAGGCAGGGACCCCCTTAGACCCCACCTCCAAGGGATGTTGCACCCTGAGACCCCCAGGATGAGCTACCAGGTAGGTGGACAGAGAGGATGGGGTGGCCCCCAGACCAGGACAGCCCCCCTCAGACCAGGACAGTGCCCCCAGACCAGCCCCCCTTAGACTGGGACAGACCCCTCAGACCAAGACAGGGCCCCCCCAGACCGGGACAGGCCCCCTCAGACTGGGACAGACCCCCCCAGACCGGGACAAGCCTCCTCAGACCAGACAGGCCCCCCCAGATTAAGATGGGCCACCCTGAGACCAAGACAGGCACCCCCAGACTGGGACAGGCCCCCCTCAGGCTGGAATATGCCCCCTCAGACCAAGACAGGCCCCCCCTCAGAGCAAGACAAGCCCCCTCAGACTGGACAGGACCCCCAGACTGGGACAAGCCCCCTCAGACTAAGATGGGCCACCCTGAGACCAAGATAGGCACCCCCAGACTGGGACAGGCCCCCCCTCAGACTGGGATATGAACCCCTCAGACCAAGACAGGCCCCCTCAGACTGGGACAGGCTCCCCCAGACCGGGACAAGCCCCCTCAGACCAGACAGACCCTCCCAGACCGGGACAAGCCCCCTCAGACCAGACAGACCCTCCCAGACTGGGACAAGCCCCCTCAGACTAAGATGGGCCACCCTGAGACCAAGACAGGCCCCCCCAGACCAGGACAAGCCCCCTCAGACTGGACAGGCCCCCCTAGAC